AGGAGGAGGAGGAGGAGGAGGAGGAGGAGGAGGAGGAGAAAAGTGTGCGGGTGACAGGGAATCTAGAGCACCACCATCTTGCAGAGAATGTCTTCTTACCCAAGGTTAGACCTCTCTTCTGCCTCCTCTCCTTCCTCCATCTCTCATCCCTCCCTTCTCCCTCCTGATAGATCTGCAGGCGGAATACATTGGAGAAGGACTGGGACGGTAAGATACAGGAGGGAAGGAGATTGCAAGGAGCGAACAAGCAAGGGATAACAAGGGGAGAGGAGGGAAGAGGAGAAAATGAGGAGGAGGAAAGTGTAGCAGACTAGGAGGAGGAGCACCAGGAGCAGGAGGAGTAGGAAATAGAGGAGGAGCAGGAGCAGGAGCAGGAGCAGGAGCAGGAGCAGGAGCAGGAGCAGGAGCAGGAGCAGGAGCAGGAGCAGGAGCAGGAGCAGGAGCAGGAGCAGGAGCAGGAGGGGCTGAAGCGGTTGGTTGACGGGGAGGGATGGTGAGCAGGGGTTGTTGTGTAGGTGGGAAGAAGCTTTTGACCTCCTTCAACGGAGTGTCAAGATCTTGTCAAGGCAGCTGGGGAAAGAGCACGAAGCGACTCGAGGTGAGAAAGACAAGCTGTGAAGATGTCCGTTGACATGCAAGGCAGACGCGCTGAACAGAAGAGAGAGATGTAGAGCTAAGGTTGACTCGACTACCATTCTTCTCCCCGTTCTCACTTGTTTTATCTTCTCTGCCTCCTTCTTTGCCCTTTCCTGACTTCCTCTCCCTGGCCAGATGAACGATCGCCGCAAGCTCTGATCATCTTGGCGCCAGCACTCCCGCATGATTGTTTCATCGTCATCCGAGAAGGCCTGGCAGTACAGGACTCAGTGACTAGCGGACAAGCTTCACGTAACAAGGGGCTTCCTCTGCCGAGTCAGTGGGAGAGTGCTCAAGTGCTACCCGGTGACCGTCCCGCGTGACAGACTGAGAGCTGGTTTCAACTCACGGTTAAGGTACTGGAACCAGGCCTCGGACCGGTCGAAGAATCATATCGCAGATAAGAAGCGTAGAGTACCGGTAGTGGTAGTTCCTAGGACCAGGCAGTCCCTATTTTAGGGACCGACGAAGAGGAAGAAGGGCCGCACGCATTTGCAGGACAGGGAAAGGAGAACGAGGTGTATAGTCTCTGTGAGACTGGATTGCTTGAAGTAAACAAGCCTTGAAGCTTGACCATCTATACCAATCTCTTATCACCTCCGTTTGTTCTCTGTATCCTGATATACTATGATGATTCCTGCGCGGCCATTCGTGATAACTATTACCACTGCTACAGAAACTTGCAGTCGGTGCTATCACTGTCTACTTCGGGTGTCACCGTACGGTCACTGCCACTGGCTGTGTCACCGTCTGGAGAGAAGGTTACTGGGAACTTCAACATTCGAGTCTTGAGCCTAAAAGTTTTCCGAAGGGCCGATGGCGACTCACAGTGACCCGGACACGGTGACCCGGGACTCACACAGACCGTACGGTTTACTGAGTCAGGCCGCGGCGCCGCCCGGCGCAGACGCTCAGTGGCCCGTCCGTCACGCCGTTCGTTCACTTTTAGCCCTTTCGTTAATTTCTACTCTTCTTTTCGAGAAAGTTTTTTTGGGGTGGCGTGTGAATTCAAACAAGTTTTCAACGGCAGCAAGAGATACCGCCCGACTCGATCCGATCGGACTGCCCAGCCGCGGCCCGGCCCGGCCTCGGTACGGTACACGATGGCCAGCTGCGCCCGGGGCCCTGGGTCACGAGGGCGGCGGGCTGCATGACTCATCACTAGTAGTATTTGGATCAGTTTGTGGTGGTCACGGTATCGGTTGCCCCAGCAGGACCCCGTGACACAAAGTGAACAACCGTGAACCGTAGTGTAAACTCTGTAGGGGACCCTACCCTATTCAGCATAAATAGATATGCTAGGACTACCCGTGGAAGAGAGCGGATTAGAAGGGGTTTGATACCCGTCATAAGTACCCCCAACACTCCCCACAGTGAATATGATCCCGCTCGTTCCGAAGGCCGGCGGTTCAGTTTTGTCGCTGTCCTTTGCATTTCATAGCTCCATGATAGTAATATAGCCACTGCCTTTCAAATAATATAGGGGACAATCTGAGGTGAGCGGGAGTTATTGAAGGACACGAGGTGTAAGCATCAGTATATTACTACACAAACACGCCATTTTTAGAAACTCTCAGCCCGAGATGTATCCTTACTACACATGAAAATGTGTGGTAAAGTCTTATTTACTCCACAAAAAAGTTTCTTACTACACCGAGGTTCCCGTCTTAACTGTCCTGCTTCCTTCCTCCCTGTCGTCACAGAGTTCAACCTCACGTTCTCTTGCTCCCTCAAGAAGAACTCGCCTGCTCCTCCCTCTTCCTGTTCCTTCAGCAACTTCTACTTCTACCTTTTCTTTCATCTACTTGCTTCGCATCATCAAAATGGCGACTCCGGTCGACTTGAAGGACTTCGAAAAGTTCTGGGGTTTCTCCCTTTCCCCCAGACCCTCCTCACAGAGTCATCAGCTGAGCAACTGCGAAGATTCGTCCCTCGATAGGACTCGCTCCCGTCCGCCGGTTCTCATCGATACCGAATGCGTCTGGCTCGCCGCTGAGCAGGACCATCGATTGATGACAGTGATAACGGAATTGAATCAGCTCGATGGGAGGTCGTCACTTTCAAAGCAGCCGGCCTCTCCAAGCAGATCCTCTCCATCCCACGCCCGCCGACATGGCGTTCACATCAATTCTCATACGCCCAGGCCTTCTGCCATCAAGCGAAGAGATGTCGGCGTCCGCAAGACGAGGGCGTTCAAGCCCGAAAGGGTTTGCACAAACCCGCTGCCTTCTAAGCAGATTGAGCACCGAATGTCTCCTCGTGCTCGAGCACTGAGTGGACCCGCGGGATCAAATTCCAAAGATTTGCTGGAGCTTCATCGCATTTGCAGACAAGCAAGCTTAGAGGGGGCGATCAAGTTTTGCATGTAAAAATCTTATATAGAGGTCATGAATTAATAAAGTTCTGTATCATACGAATTTCAGTTTTCGTAGGGTGTGATATGTCACATCTTCTGATTCCTGGGAAGCTACAGAAATGCAACGCTCTCAAACAAAATGAAGGACTTGAGCGCTTGCAATTTAAATAGACTCTTCCAGATTTTGCTTTGTGAAAGAATTATATTTCCATTCATGTTCACTTTAACACATAAGACAATGAGTGCAAAAGTCTCGGCAGATGCAGCATGCAAATGAGATTGCACGTTTCCTACACCCGCGTCATTCGTGAATCCATGACTGGCTTTCTCCTTGCGCTGTTGCAGTTGATGGGTGGCTTACACTGCTCCAAGACTCTTCATCTCTTCGAGCCAGTTTTGCTGGAGGGAGTTTCAGTGAGTGGAGAGGCAGCATATACCCCGTTGACTCCTTACCTGGTATTTCTGTTCCTGGGCTTGTTGTTGTTGCTCTTGTTTCCTGAAATCGTAATCAGGCAACACCCAAGGACCAGCCCAGCAACGAATGTTTGGATCAAGGAAAGGAAGCAGAGATCATTTTTGTGTTCAATGCCAGAAACTGAACTGGTTTGTCCTAAAATAGAGACACAAATTCATGTGCAGAGATCTTTCCTTTTTTTTTTTTTAACTGTTTTCAATGTACAAACCTGATGTCATCTCCAGTAGGAAACTTGGGAGCTTTAGATCATAGGATCTGAAATTCTGCCAGCAAGACAAGCGAATCAGTTATGCTTTCAAGAGACAAGATAGGTGGTATTACGCCTCGAACGAGCGAAGCCCTACGAAAAGCAAATAATCTCAGACGAAAATCTGATATTTGGCACAACCATACCTGAACCTTCTCCAAGATGCTGAACATCCCCCTGATGACAGTAGTATTGTTAGCGAAAGAAAACCAAGAACAATTTCCAAGCGAATCAAAACATCTTCAACTTCAACACAATACCATTTATCAATTCTGCAGCGAGCTACACCAGACAGTTTGCTTTGTACGTTTTCAAGCGTTCAGAACGATGATCGGGCTTTAACATTTCAGCATTGAAAACATTTTGTTCGTCTCTCATGCCTTCGATTCATCAACCTTCGCTCTAACCCTCACCCCCCTCTCTCGTTGCCGACTTTCCCAAGTCTCGATCCCACCCATTGCCATGGTGCCAAATCCGGAAGGCATCTGAGCCTAGCCAGCTCTGGGGCAGGCTCACTACTAGCTGGTTTACCCGGCGACAACCACCACATATCGAAATAGTTTTTGCAGATGTTGCCTTGTCATTTGAAATTAAATGATGTATTTTGAATATTAAACAATACACTTCATCTTATGAAATGACATTATTAATTTTGAAATGTCCAGTCAAAGTATGGAGTTATTTCCGCAAGCAGTGAACTCAAGGAGTTTTTCTTTTGTGGTTACTACCAAGACTCTTTTTCTTTTTTCTTTTTTGTACCTTGGATTTTGTTTCTTTTTTTTCTGGTGTTTTTCGTTTTTTTGGGAAACGTCCGTACCAACGGGTCTCAACGGGTCTCAACGGCCCGTACTAACGGTTACTACCAACACAAAACGGAAATCAACGGTCCCAGTACCATACGTTATGAAAAGGTATAAATATTGATCAATATGGTACAAAAATTAGTACAAGGTGGTTAATTTCATTACAATATTTAATATTATAAATTGACTCTTGGTACGAACCCTTGTACCAGTTAACGGGTACCGTTAAGTCTTGGTACAAACTGTAACGGTCTGAGGGAAGTGCTTGGAGTGGGATCGAGCAAGTGGGTGGGGGTCCTCTTCAGTTTTCCACTTGTGAAAATCAGGGTGGGTATATATACCCACCCTTAAGTTTTAACAGTATTCAGTATGTTTAATATGGGTATTATTTGAAATATTTGATTTTGGGGGGTAGGGATAGCTTCTTGGATCTAAGGGGGTGGGTAGGCATTCAAACTTGGACTTTCGAAGTGATGCTAGAAGAGCATGTGGGATAGTGCGCCGATGGACGCTAAGATGGGATGATATGATGTGACACAGTGATGTATGATGATATACTTATGCCATGATATGGTTGAAAGAAGTGCTACATGTTAGATCAGATTGTGTATTGCACATCACACCACTTCATGGGTTGTGTTGTTTTTATCATGGTATAGGAGGCAAGAGCAGGGGGTTGGAAGGACAGTAAGCAGTTAAAAGGACATGGATAGCGAGAGGAGGAGGAGATAAGAAGCACTCTTGAGCCTGTGCATAGTGGTTACGACAATCTGATGGTATATCCACAGGTCAACAGCGACATGTCAGGTGTAGAGGTGAGCCCAGAAGGATCTTGCGACTGAAAACAAGCTCATTCATATTACAGGTATCAGCCACCCCTCCTACCGCCTCACAGCCAGAATCAAGTGAAGTATATGCGCATGGAGGTGCAGGTGCAGAGCGGAGCTGTTGCTTGTCTAAGGCAACCTGACCCCTTCGATGGCAGACTCAACAGACGGCAAAGGAAACTCGATTCAGGTAGAGTAGTTAAGCTTTGATCTCAGACGATCTGATCACATGACAGAAGTCCTCGTCCAAACCCTGGACTAGGGAGGAAGATCAAATGATTATTGAGCATGTCCAGGTGACCCCCGCATAACGTCTGCTCACGTGTCGTGTTGTGACAAGGGAGTGCTCAGCGGCATGGAACCAAGTCTTGGTCTCTGCTAGCCGGTTCAATTCCAGGAAGGACGGGAAAGCAGATGAGAGAAAGATGGCACAATCAGGTATGAGCATGTTGTGTGCGGCGGTATTTAGCTAATGCGCTTTCAGCTCGATCCAAACATCAGAAAGGACCCATGGACCACCGAGGAGGATCAAAGGCTTCTCATGGCTTATCAGGTCTTGCATGAACCTTCATCTCTGCAGTCACGATTGATTGTCGCTGCAGCGGTATGGATCAAGATGGGCCGAGATCAGCAAGCTGTTTCCTGTACATGTTTGCAGTTTTCGACAGTTGTATCGCTGACTGGAACCCAAGGGGAGGACTGACAACTCAATCAAGAACCGATGGTATGGGAATGTTCGCAAAGGGACTCGCTCCCTGGAGAAGCAACAAGGCCAAGGAGAGTCGATGCCTTCCTACAGTGCAGCGGACGGGACAGTGATCTATGGCAGCGGCCCTGTACCAGGTGACGCGATGAGCTAGTTTGTGATTTCAACTCATGATCTTCGCAGGAACTCCCAAGAAGGACATTGCTACGGTGGGGATGAAGAGGCCGGCAGAGGACCTCGAGGTTGCCCACTGATAAGACCCAGTATGATCCTGACCCCTCCTCTAGATGAACCCTGCGAAGCGCATGGCCTCTGGCACGCTGACGTCGTCAACGATCACGGTGCTCTTGTCGCAGGTCGTGTCTCTGGGTCGTGACTAGTCCCCCAGACCTCGTCGGAAGCGGTGATTGCTTGCTGGAAAGTCATCGACGAACTCGTCAACCGACAACTCCCCAACGCGGTACTGTTGCAGTCTGTGAGGCCGTCCGACCCTGACCAGTTGTCTCCTCTAGATGAACTCGCTGCAATATAAAGCTGCGCCTAGTGATCCCATCAATCTGCAGTCCGAACTTCAAGGTGTCAAGACAACGTTGGAACAGGTCAACGAGCATCTTAGTGGCTCCCGTGGCGCCTGACTCGGCTTTCTGCAGGGCGGGTACCGAACGCCATTCGAGATGCATTCAGCTGTTGTAAATATCTGGCGGAATTGCCTTGAGAAGTCTCCACAGACCTTGTTCTACTCGCTGGCAAACATGCTGGCAAATGTGAGCGGACATCCTCTCAAAGCAGGCAGCAGGCAGTTCGTAACATGTGACAACAGATCTTCGATGAGCTCTACTTCAAGAGCGTCTACTTACCCCTCAACGTCATCTCACTGAACACGCAAAAACCTGCCGCGAACGGGACCAAGGTGCGAGTGTACAACGCTCCAGAGCACAGGTATGCAACCAAGACCTGTCATGGGACGATCTTGTCTGCGATGACGGCGACCTCAGGTGGTGGATCGGAGTGATCACAGAGTACGACGTGAAGCAGAACATGTCTCTTGTCACTCAGGTACATCTCGTACGCTCGCTGATGGTAAAGTACATGGCCGTGACATGCTCTCCAGGACGCGCAGGCTGCTTCAGAAGCGGGAGAGTCCGTAGAGCCGCTGCAAGTGTGGGTTTCAGTGCCGTCGTTCTACGCGGAGGTCTTGACGGAGGACGGCAAGGAGCAGCCTTCAGACATCAACCTGCTGGACGGGACGAGCAACCTCTTTGCTATCTCGCTCTCCTCCGCTAACGGTGATGTCATGGCTGGACCCTCCTCCTGTCTCGCTGACGTCCTGCCCTTAGGGTCGGGGGTCTCGATCGGGGAGTCCATGGTGACCGGGGAACAGCTCAAGGCTACGTTGGCCAACACTCAGATCGCCGCCTTGTTTCCAGGTCGGCCACTCCTCTCCTCGCCCTCTCTCCTCTCCTCCTCCTCTCCTCTACCTCCTCTCCTCCCCTTCCGTTCCGCTCCTCTCTTGGCTCGTCTGCCTCCCTCTCGGTCTCACTTGTTGTTCAGAGTACAACGGGACCGAGACGATCTTGAGTGCGTTGGAAGCACACATAGCGGCGAAGCAGCCGGAGCTAGCTAAGGTGAGGGAGCCAAGACACGCGCTGTATGTCGCATCCTCATAGTTGTCTTCAGAACAACGACGGCGACTCGTCTGGACTAGACAAAGACTCTAAGGTCGGTGCTGTGTACCTGTGCCTTATGATTGACCGCATGATGGGGCACGGGGTTTGATCTGACTTGTCGTGTTGCAACAGGAGGAAAAAGCTTGATTGTTTGAGGGGTTGATGTGAAATCGACATCTGTCGAGCCAGTCCTTGAGAGATCAGCGTTGCTCGGCTACCTGTTTACTAGATTTCTTGATATTCTTATCTTAAATTTAAACTTACTGCATACTTCAAAACTTGCTCCTTCTCACAGAGCTTAACTCGCTTTTGTTCAAATTATGCATCATCATATCACACGGGGAAATGTCATTGTTATCATCAAACCTACATCCTTTCATCACAAGTGTCATCGTCTCTATGATCATCAAACATCACTGTTATCATCAAACCTACATCATCATCGCACGAGTGTCATTCGTTGTCTTCATGGAGCAAGCGGCAACACCTGCTCGGCCTCAGATTTCGTGACCTTCCCCCTCCTACTTGCAAATACTCGGGACACATCTTTGTAATTTTGTTCTTTAATTTCAAAACTAAGAAAAACAAATGGAGAAAAGCAAACGAAAAACCATTAAAATTTTGCATCGTGTGACATGACGAGGGTTGAAACCCCTGAGCATGCATCCCTTGCTGCAGCTCGATCCCCCCCCCCCCCCCCCTTTCCTCCTCCTCCTCCTCCTCCTCCTCCTCCTCCTGCTTTTCCGCCTCCTCCTGCTCTTCCTGCTGCTGCTGCTCCTGCTGCTGCTCCTGCTTACGCTTACGCTCCTGCTCCTGCTCCTGCTCCTCTCCCCTGCCCCTCTTGCCCTTCTTTCTATTTCTGCTGCTCCTGCTCCTGCTGCTACTGCTGCTGCTGCTTTTCCCCCTCCTCCTCCTCCTCCTCCTCCTCCTCCTCCTCCTAAATCTGCTCCTGCTCCTCTCCCCCTTCTACTTCCCGCTGCTGCTGCTGCTGCTGCTTTTCCTTCTCCTCCCCTTACATCCTCCTCCTGTTGCTGCCTCTCCTACTTCTGATACAGCTTTGGCTATCATCGTTTGCCTTCCCTTCGTCTCGTCCTGGCCGTTTGGCTCTAGCTCCCTTCCTCATGCTACATTTCAGCTGATCGCTCTCTGATCCTCTTGTTGGACTTATCTTCATGTCTCCTCTTTTTGTTAGCTCTTTCATACTCCCCTTACATCCTTCTCCAGCTTCTCCTTCCTTCACTAGCTCGTCTCGTTCCCAGTGTCTGTTTGTCGCCCTGACATTCTCTTCTTACAGGTTGTCTTCTCTCGTAAAATCTCAATCTCAACGTCGGCGCAGCGCATACCAGTCTTACTCCTAGCTCCTCGGAACCATCCTCGTTGATCTTTGTTCCTTGTTCTGCAGTCTCTGAATCTTCTCCCTTGCTGCGCACTCTCTACTATCCGCTCATCCATTGTATTCTCTACCTTCTACTCTCAAACAATCTCGGGAGAACCAATCCATTGAAGCATCATCATCCTTTCTGTAATCGGCTCCTGGAATATTTTCCTTGCCCCCATCGCAGCAAGACCTGCTGCATTGCTATCATGTGCACTCGGGGAACAAAAATGCGGAGCTGCGGTAGGAAGGAGGACGGTTGTGAGAGCGTGAGGAGAACGGCGGGACAGTGCCGGGATCAGAACAGACGAGCATCTTTCAGCGCAATGATTGTGTTGGTGTCTTGTTTGTTTGCAGACACATGTCTTGCGTTGAGGTGTCTACCTAATGTCAGGACAATGACTGCAAGCCGGCTTGCAACGAGCTCAAACCGTGCCAAGATCCGTCAAGGGGCCTTACATATACCCGGTCGACTGCACGCTGTTCTCAGTATGCAAGGAGTGGTGTTGAGGGGAGATGGTTGTTCAACCAGTTGCTTGCAAGCCAAATGGAGTCAGAACATCACTGTTGAGGACAGCACAAGGTCAGATGAGAATCAGAAGAAGAACGCGTCGGATGTTGATGTGAATGATGAAAACGCGTCGCTTTCCCCGTGTGACTTTGTGGACAGAGCGTCATGGCAGATCAAGATCAAGATATCAGTGAGCTGTTCGACTTTCACGATGTGAATATCAACAGACTGATCAAACCACCTCACAACGAGTCTTTTGATGTAACATGACTTGTTTATTGTCCGGCCGCCATGTCTGATGCTGGCGGTTTGCAGCTTATGAGTATTCAAAACGACATCTCCATTCTCTCCATCTACAGCCTATCTCAAGCCATCTGCGAGGTTATTTCTCCTTCCTTCATCTCTCTGTCTACCTTCCCTAACATTTCCCTCCTCCCATGTCCTTGTGACCTCCCCTGCCTCTCAACCCTCTCCCTCCGTTTCTTCTCCCTCCAGCTCTTCTCCACCTCCTCTCTCTCCACCTCCTCTCCCTCCACCTCCTCTCCCTCCACTTCCTCGCCTTATCTGACACAACCGGCAAATTAGCTGGTTGCACAGGGTCCCAAAGACACGCCAGGCATGACACTCACAGACTGGATCATAGTATCACGGTATGCTCCCTGCCTGCCCTGCCCTGCCCTACCTGCCTGCGTGCTTGCCTGTTTCTCACTTTCTCATCATCATCCTCCTCATCTTCTTCCACCCACCTCCCACCCCCAATCCCTTTCCTTCTCCTCCTCCTCCTCGTTCTTTCTCTTCCTCTGCCTCTGCCTCTGCCTCTGCCTCTGCCTCTTCCTCTGTCGCAGTATTCGTTCAAACTCTCCTCCAGCTCTCGAACTTACCTCATTCCCTCACTCCTTCCCTCCTCCTTTCCAGGATCTTGCTCATCGTTGACTTTCCTGACTTGCTGTTCGCAGATATTTCACCAGCGCGGCGACTCTCAGCATATCATGGGTAGCTGCTGGGATTATGCTAAATCAGTTCCAAGTTCGTCTTTCTTACCTTCTTGCACTCCAACTTACATCTGCTCTCTTTTACTCTCTGCTTGCTCTGTTTCCTTCGTTCTTTGACATGGACCTGAACATCTCCTTGTCATGTTTGTTTTTCTCCCCCCTCCTTTGAATTTTCGTTTCCTGATTGTTCATATCTCCCACAACTCTGACCCTCCCTGCCTTTCCCTCCTCCATTGTCTCCTTTCTCCTCTAATCTCCTTCGAACTACTCTCATTCGCGCTTAATCCCTTCCTCCCCTCTCCCCCTCTCTCCTCCTCTTCCTCTGCTGATCTTCTCATACAGAAAGGAAGTTGGCATGTTTTCGAGCATGAGAATGCTCGCTTCAAGGACGCTTTCCGCTGCTGGCTCATCGCAATGCCATTGCATCAGGTAAGGTTTTCCTTGCTCTTCCTCTCAGTGTTGTTGTTCCTCTTTCTAGCGTTTCTCTTGCTCCTTTGCTCCTGTCCCCGTCCTCCTTCCTCGATTCCTCCATCTTGTTCTCTCCTACTCTCCTCTCTCCTCTCCTCACTTTCCCTCCCCTCCCCTCGTCCACCCTTCCATTCTCTCCATCGTACTCTGCTGCTCTCGGCCCCCCCTCCCCCTCCCCCTCCCTCCCTTGACCTCGCTCCCTCTCTCTCGCGTTCACTCTCTCCTCCTCCATCCCTCTCCTCTGCCCCTTCCTTCATTCACCCTGTCGTACTCAACCTCCTGCTCTCTTCCTCTCGTCCCTTCTCTGTTCATTGCCCCGCA